TGACAATCTCCAACTGCAGCTTAACATTGTACATCTCGAACTAATGCGATCAAATAGTCAATAGCTACAGCATGTCATCATGAACCGTATCAGCTAACTACTAGCTATGTTTATTATCATTGCAATGTATAAAGTTAGCTGCCATATCAAGTAATCCATTGCCCACAGTTGAGCATAAAAAAGGCCAGCAAACAGGATAAATAAAAAAAATGTTAATTTAAAAACCTGTAAATATGGATCGTTAAACAAAAATAAGGATAGAGATACTGTAGACATTATTTACTCAAACTACAAACCCCTATTTTGGCTCCATGCTGTTACCTAGAATTAACTTTGATGGAGATATAATAAAGTGAATCTATTATAGACATGATGAATAAAATGGAGAAAAATTTATTTGTTTGTTTTTGAATTTCGCGCAAAGCTACACGAGGCGCTAGCCGTCCCTAATTTAGCAGTGTAAGGCTAAATTTATGATAACTAGTCATCACCACCCACCGCCAACTCTTGGGCTACTCTTTTACCAACGAATAGTGGGATTGACCGTCACTTTATAACGCCCCCACGGCTGAAAGGGCGAGCATATTTGGTGTGACGGGGATTCGAACCCGCGACCCTCAGATCGCGAGCCTAGCGCCTTAACCACCTGGCTATGCTGAGCCCATGGAGGAAAGGCTTATAAATTCCTTATCGAATTTTTAAACGAAAAATAACATGTCATATTTCTACTATGGTTTCCAATAGGTCAATCTCATTGCAATCAAATGTTGACGAAATTGAAAAAGACAGGAATTTATATATAAGGACTATAATGATTTGAAATACAATTACACAAAGGCTATTGAAAAAATCCACATACTGGAAAAATACAACGAAATGATAAGGAAGTGTGTACTTGTGACACAGAACTTATCGATTCTACAACTAAAATAATTTGTTTACCTTAAATATATAGTTTTTGATGTCTAAGGTTGTTAGGGATGAGCAAATTACATCTAAACTAAACAAACTGTTTACATTCCACCACTACATGAGACCTAGTTTAGTTATTTGTTTCGCTGTTTCAAGCAGCATTGATGACCCGTGAATTTGGAGAAACTAGTCTGTTGTAGTGAAAGTAGCCAATCAAAGAATAGAAAAGTTCTCTACGTCATCTTTCTTCGCTGAAATTCAAGTTTTGGTGATGAAAAAGAGCTTAACAAATAAAGTAAAATAGTTGGTGACCTTGAACAGTAAGGCAGAACGGGTTTGTTAGAAATTTTTGGGTGTTCCTATGATAGAACCTGAATGAGACTGTTATGTAAGTTGCTTTTAACTTTGGTTTAAAGTTTCTCAGTTTGCCCCTGAAGAAGAAAGGTCTATAAATGGAAAACGCTAATGGGCTATGGTTTTTTCTTGTCATTACATGAATTTTTAATCAGCCTGTTTTTTTTTAAACCATTCATTAAAATTGGAAGATATTGATGCTGTACACAGATTGTCCCAACCTAAATTTGGTAAGCTGCCAAAATTTATAGCTAAGTTTCTAAAAAACGATAATTTTTATGAGCAGAAAAATAAAAGCTATAGCTATGAGCATGGAGTTCTCAAGTGATACAATAACTTATATGCAGGAAAATTCAACTAACTGTAAACGTGTGTTTTTTTGGTAAATGTTTACAGTTTTAAAAACGAAAACGAGTATAAATATCTAAAGACAAGATATGGGAAAACAATAATCGTAAACAGTGTAGTAACCAACAGTGTGTTCATGAATCGTAAATATCGTATTAACCAACAGTATGTTCATGAATTGTAAACAGCGTAGTAACCAACAGTAATAAACTCATCCCAAGACCAGGAAGTAACCCAACACTTTACTGATTTATTACCTGTGCATCTGGAGTATTAAATCGTCTAAAATAATCATACCTGTAACCAAAGTGACAATGTTATTAATTCAATTCATTAAAACATGTAAAAAATAAACAAGACTGTGTCGTGGTAATTATCATAACTGGTGTTGTTGTTTTTTTAATGTTTTTTACAAATATTTGAATAATTTATTAATTTTTTAAATCTATATTATTGTAGAAATTGTATTATTCATATATTTCCATTTGATAACATGGATGATGAAGTAATTGAAGTATTGAGTTAAAATATCATATTGTTGCGTCAGCGAGGTCACGTGACTAGTGTCACACACGCCTCCTGCTTTCTGGAAATATCTTGTACCTTCGTGAATTGTCGGGAGATTACTAGATATAGGGTAGTCTGGTATATATAAGAGGGTGACAACGTGACGGGACAATAATGTGTGTGTAGGTAGTGAGTAATTGATCTGCAGTGAGAAAGTATTAGAATCAACAA